GGCGGGGGTGCCGGTGAGGGCTGACCGCGGTGAGCTCGGACGACCGGGGTGTCGGGTGTCTGGGCGAGGAGCGCGGCGAACTTTCCCCCCGCCGCTTTGCTCTGTGCGTGCTGCTGGGCATCCTCGGGCGTACGGTTCACACGCCTAGTAGTGGTAAACCGGAGTTACCTCCGTGTCCACTAGTTTACTGGGTGGGAGGAGTCAAAAACCCTGACTTGTTTTTACTTAAAGCTTATTATCTAAAGTTACAGGAATAACTTTCTGATGAGACCTCTGGAATGGGGCGGGGGGTGGATTTATAAAGTCCTTGAAAAACACTGTGATAAATGACATGTGTTTTCTGTGCTGGATTGTGTTTTGAAAAACAGACTAGATGCAATTTGTTTGTTATTTCCTTCCTCATCTGCTCTGGAAGAGAAGTGGTAACTAGATAATTGTGGGTAGTATATGTGCCACTGTAGTCCACACCTGTTTATGAAAATGACTTAAAGCAAACACTTGTAGTGCCCTGGAACATGTTACTTAACATGCTCTTTAAAAGAAACATCTGTTAGGCTAGATTCTTAATTTCTATTTACAGCTTTCAAGTATGTTTTATTGGTAATAACTTAAACACTTACATATTTTTATTGTAATGCCCTTCATTCTCAAAAACTAAAAGGAGAGGCACTTGTAGTTGGTATTCTAGTTCTTGTTTCTAGTTCCAGAACAGTGTTAGAGATAAATATCTATATTTCTCTTACATATTCTAGTGTTTTGTATCTACTTGTTCGGTATTTTTGGTGGGTTTGTGTTGTGTTTTTTGTGGTTTTAAGAACCTTTTTCTAAATGTGTTCCTTCAATAATAGTGACACAGAGATTGTACACCTCTTAACTTTCTAAACAAAAATTTTTCTTCAGGACTTACTGCTATGGAGAAGAAGCTGGCTGAATACAAGTGTAATACAAATGAAGCAATTCAGCTGAAACTAGGTAATGTCACTTTTTAAATATTGTGCATTTGATACTGGAATAACTTCTTAAGACACTTCCTTATACTTAAATCCACCAAGGTTTTAATATGTACTTATTAATGTAAATCTACAAACACAAGAATAAGAATACATAGTCTAGTTTTGCTGAAACTACTATGGTTAAAGTACAGCTATAATTCAGTTCTGTCTCTGAGTAATGTCATGAGCAATTTATGGGAATGTTACCAGAGTGCATTGGAATTACATCTTGTCTTATTGAAGTATTCATTATGTTCTCCTAGCTTCCCTCTTCTTCTCTAATCCTTATGCTGTGGTGCAGTCCTAAATAGGCATCGTCTTCGTGGTGACTGTAGTAGCACAACTCATCTCTTTAGGGTTACAAATACCTAATTATGTATTATATATTTTTTAACGTATTTCCCTTTCCTCCTCTTTGAGGGGGGGGAAAAAATAAAAGCAAGAAAGAAAACTGGAAAGTGTTGTTGGGTTGGGCGCTTTTGCTGCCCTTCCCCCCCAACATCTGGATTACACGAGACATTTTTAATGAAAATTGTTTAAAATCTGAATAGAAAAAATGTCACTCTGAGAGCTGTTTAATGTTCTCTTTAACTAATTTGTGTACTAGGGCACCAAGAGTACAGACTGAATTACTGAACTCTTGGTGGAATAGCTTTTATCTCAAACTTATGTGCAGCAGTAATTACTTGAATAAGGCATACCTCTTTCAAGCCCTTCAGCAATTTGTTCCTTTGAGCAGTGTAAATAGCATAATTTATTAAGAAAATAAAAGTAAAGAACCTGTTACGAACTCTGCAGAACTACTACTAGCAGTCTGTTCTGTATCGTTTAGTAGCATTTTTAATATTCAATCACCTTTGGCCTGTGAGCCAAAATGTCGTCATAACCAAAATACTTAAGTCTTTAAGCCACTGTAATTGTGAAGTATTTCCCTTCCTCTTAAACATTCTTTCAAATAGTGGTTTTATGACTAGATCTAATGTTTTATTTTTCTCTTCCACTTTTATAAAACCAAAGTGCAAGAATGAGATATAATTATGAGAGTAAATTTTGTCTAGGAATCAGAGTGTGGATGTTCCACATACCAATTATATTAAGAGAAAAGATGAGAAGCTACGAAGTGGTGTCATTAAAAAAAAAGCATGTATTTCCCACATGTATACAAAAGCAGTCATACACTAGCCTCTTCAGGGTCCTAATTTCTTCCATGGTGACAATTCAGAATTGCTCATTGGTTTTTGTTTTGTTTCTTTTTTTTAGTATTTTTTTAACAGTGCTACTTTGCCTCAGTTCTGTTGTGCTCTGAATTAAACCTGAGAAGACAGGAGCAACCGTTCTCTTCTGCTTTTGAGAAGACCAAACTTTTATCTTGTCACTAGAACACTCATTTTCATTTTTCATTTTGAATAATTCCTTTCTAATATTATCAGAGAGAACTTTTTTCTCACTCCACTTTTACTGGACTAAAGTAAAAGTGTAAAAAAGAAAAGTAAAAGCTGTAGTTCAATATTCCATATGCTTAAAAGAAAAATCTTTAATAGCAGTATTAACTCCTACAACATTGCATGCTCATGCTAATGCAATATTGATTCATTCAACATTAAAAATGTGTAACTGTTGTCTTGAGCTACTGGTGCCTCATCAGTGCCCAAGATAAGAGCTATATCCCTTTCAATTTTAGGTAATTTTTTCAACTGCAAATACACAGAGGATGTCTGGGAATCAAGTGTCTCAGTCATGTAAAATTTTTCCTAGGAAAGCCTAGTTTAATTTCTACTTTCATCCACTAATCATAAATTATATATTTTATGATGAAAGAACTCCTGTCACAATTACTGTGGAGCAACTGCTCTAACTCCATAAGCATGAATAAAATGCTTGTTTAATAAGTTACTGAGTTTGAGTAGATGCCATTATAACGAGTATTTTTACACTACCAGAAAAGACCTTATTTAATACTAGGTTTTGAGGAAAAGTAAACAGTCAGGAAAAAAATGGCTAATTATTTTGGTAATACTGGTGCAAGTACCAGTATAGTATCAGTGCAGCTGTGTTGTATGTATCCATGCTGATTCTCCAAAACTGAAATGAACATAAATGCACATAAACATTTCTTCCCATTCATCACTCCATGGAAACCCCCTACAGGGAAGTGTTCTCACCTGTGTGTAGAAGAATGGCAGAATGAGAAGGTAACATTGATTACATGATCTGTCTGGCTTACTGTGGGAATACCCAGCTGGGCAGTGTCCTCAGTGTTCAAGATGAAGTTAAAGGCAGTAACATTCAGGAGACATATATATGAAATATATACATGTATACATTTGTGTCAATTTTTCAATTTTGTTCTGTTTAGATTTGGTCTCATCAGATCAAATAACACGCATCTAAACTGCACAAGATGTGTTTATTTAATTTGTATGCCAGCCAAACGTAGGTAGGTTCATAATTGAAGTTGTCTGACTCTATAGTGAAAAAATGCTTGAACATCTATTATGGCATCTGTGGATAAACAAACTGAAGCTGATGACTTGGTCATGCTCTTTTCTTTTTTTTTTCTGCTCTTTTCAGTTCGTTTTCCTGAGGATTTGGAGGATGACAACACAACGTTTAATCCAGAGTATAGCCATCAAGTGTTTGGAGACGAGTAAGTTAAAGTATCAAGAGTCAAATTAATAGGTCTGGAAGGGGAAAGTTGCTTTCAAATTGTTAGAAAACAAGAAATCTCGCTTACTTAAATTTTATGACTGTATAGTTGAACGGTGGCCTTGGTGCCTAGCTCGTAGAGTTTGAGCCTGTAGTCATTTTATATGCTGTTTTTAAGATAGATTAGCAGAGAATTAAATACCTGATCTTGCAGTCAGAATTACTTGTTTAAGTGGGTAACGCCCCACTAAGGAAAATCCACATGCACATATCTGTGGACTTTTTGAAGTAGTTAAGTTTCTTAATTTCCAGTTCCTTTATAAAGCATTCTGTGTACTCCAAGTAGGGTGAACTACCTATATTAATTGTAATAAAATTAGTTACAGTAATACACACCTACTGCAACTATCACTGACAATTATACTTTTAGTAATGGGAGAACTCTCCAATTTGTTGGTGTAATTAATTAGCAAATTCTTGTTCTGACAGTTATACTTCAAATTTTAAATGATGTGTGCTACCATAAAAGAAAAATATCAGTAAATAAAATTAACTGTGCATTAAAGTAACAAAGAAGGAACCTGTTTCTTTGTGAACATTACCATTTTCTGCAGTTCAGTTTTGCCTGAAAATAAATTCTCTATAATTCATAACAGTACAGTGTTTATGTTCAGGCAACTCGTATTTTCAAAGTGTAAAAAAGGCTTTTGTATTCCATGCCTTTTTTTGTTTTTTGCATTTACTTAGTTCTAGTTAGATTGGATAAGTATACAGAAACTGTCCACCAAAACCACTCTTATTGCTATGACTGCTTATCTGTTTTATGCAGTATAAATTGCAGTAGTGTATTCCAAAATATTATACTACACTGCAAAGCAAGTTTTAATAAATGTTATCGATCAATTAATATAAATAAATATTAATGAGTTTAAGATACTGAGAAGTATAAATGTAGTATTAGCTATTTCAGGTATTCTTTCTTGACCCGTCATGGTAAGTGCACAGGCACTGCCTTACTGAGTTCAGGAACATGTCCTGTTTCTCCACTAGAGGAGAATAATAACTAGCAGAAATAGCATAAGGCATTATTTCTGTCTAGATAGCTCACATCCAGTTTGATTCCCTTCTATTAGGAAGCTTAGTAAACCTTACTGGGAAAGACGATGTGAACTTCAAAGCTTATAAAATGAAAGCTCTGTGATGTGAATGTTTTGCTGTGAAACTATATAGAGTTCCTGATTGCTCTTTTCTCCTTCCTCAGTGAAGTTGCCTTTGGCTACAAGGGACTGAAGATCCTCTTGTACTATATCGCTGGTAACCAAAAGTTTGACTGTGTGGAGGTAAAGACAGAACCAGACCTGCACTTAAACTATTACTGAGGAGGCTTAGTTAGGATATGGGCAAGAATGCTATGTCTGGTAATTGCCCACCCAAACATGATTACATTAAAAGCCAACAAAGCAAGCTTCCTTTGTTGCTAAGCTGAAAAAAAGCTTTGAACTTCATCTGTATGTTTTCCAGTTGTTCCTTTGTCTGCAATACCATCAAAATTGTGTCAAACAGTACAGTCAAACACAAGGTGCTAATACCAAGGCCAGTTCCACAAAAAACCCACAACAACTTAGCAAGACTGTATTTTCATTTTAACTGTTTCCAGGAGGAGGACCAGCATTGGTGGGTTTTTATATTGAAGAGAATTCAGTAAGAAGGAAAAGGAGATTTCTGTAAATACTACCTGAAGTGGGATGCTTGACTGTGTCTCTTTAAATGGCAAATGTGGAGAACAAGTAAGGCAGAAATGAGATTAGAAACTTCTGGTTGGGTATCATGTGTGCTTTACATCTTCCTTAAAGGAATACACTAACACAATTACCTGCAGGATGTTCTGTTTGGCTTTTGGGGGTT